CTTTCACGGAAAATCATTTTACAGCAAAAGTTTGGAAATCATTTAATTCATTTTATTATTATTATTTTTGTTTTGCTTTCACTTTTTTTTTTTGCCTATCTTGTCATTTATCCCCGTCCAAATGCAGTTTTGATTTCAATCTAATGCAAAAGCTACCATTTCTATACCTTGGCAAACACTATTTGTTTCAAGATCTTTGATTCATTTAGTTCCTGCTAAGCTGCGTTTTGTAATTAAAGATGGATTTAAATGATACATGTTATAACTTAGATCAGACGGGCTGTTTATGTGCTGTGGGATTTAATGGTGCTATTGTATCTAAAACTGAGGGTCATTACATATTGAGGAGGTGGCTTTTCTTCAACTATCAAGATCTGCACTTTTGTCTTAGAAATGTGAATGTTTGGATGAATGTAGTGTCCTGTTTAAAAAGAATTCTATTTGGTGGCCGGAGTTTAATACATTGTCTGTGCAGCATTCCACCGACTGGATATAGATGTTTTAGGTTTTAAGAGATCACAACTTTATCTTCTCCTCAATGAAATCATCGGTCCTCTTTCTCTCCCTCCACCCCCAAACCCCAATTGTCTGTCTTTTCCCATCTGCATGGTTGTCTCTTAGAGCTCTTCTCTAGACGAAATGCAAAATGTTTGTAGGATACTCTTGCTGGAAATATGTCCTTGTCTTTTGAGAAGGGTGTGCTTTGGACCCTGGGTTTGGCTGGTGCGAATGTGTGTGTCTGTGTGTTGTGTGTGTGTGTGTGGGGGGGGGCAGTGGCGATCCGGAGTCCCCATTAATTTGCATACGAGCTGCGGAGTGCTTGTGAACAGTCCTGCCTGACTTTGTTTATAAACACTGGGCTGGTTGCCTAGAGGGAAAGGAGGTCAAAGCCCGTCTGAGCCCTGACCTCTGAAAGGCCAGAGGGCGTCTGACTCCTCTCTCCCGCTTCCCCGGCCCTCCCCCCGTCCCCCCTCCCTCCTCAGACCCTGTAGCACTCCTCCCTCCCCTTCCTCACCTTACCTGTGTCTAACTTTACATAATGACTACCCCACCCCCCAACACACACATAAAAACAGGTCAGACCTCCAGGAAAAGAACCCAAACGTTAAAACCGATTTAGTCTGAAGTTAAAGCAAATAAATGGGTTGTGGGAAGAGACATATACAGGGATATGGAAGTACAGAAATAGAGAGCCGGGGGGAGGAGGGGAACATTTTTATGATTAAAAAAAAAAAAAAAGACCACAAAGGAGATAAGAGCCAGGTTGGGGGAGGGGAGGGAGCTCTCGAACGGCGGGTCTGACTGCCCACAAACACTGTACACACACACACACACACACACACACTCAATATGTCTTTCCTTCCTGAATTTCATCTCATCTAGTTCACTCTCACCATCAAAGTGAGTGTCCTCACATTTTAAATACCCACTTTTAGTTCTCAGGAAAACGTACCTTTTTTTTTTTCATAGCAATGAGATCTGCCTCTCCCCCCCCCAGACGGCTTCTTGAATTATTTCATTGTAAATACAATGTGTTGGCGACGCCTTCCCAAAGAAGCCCTGCTCTTCCCGATTCACTGTCAACTTCACGTCTCCCCCTTACAGGCACCCATGCCCCCCCACATTTCCCCTCCCCACTCACACGAAATGACAGACCCCGGTACCAGGCGGAAGTGTGTTTTGGAAAGGAGCTGAGAGTTCAACACGAATGTTAGTTAACTGAGTGACTGTTAAGTAGCCCCCGGGCGGGGAAGACCCAGCGCACACACAGGGGAAGGGCGGGCGGCTGGACGGGACGCGTCTGGGCGACGTGAGGGTGCCCCACGCTGAGACCCGTGCCCCCCTCCCCTGTGCACAGCTGCAGCCCCGGGAGCACCGGCCGGGGACGGGGCCCTTTCCCCGCGGGCTGGGGCGGGGCTGGGGCCGGCGGCACGTGGGGACAGGGGCCGGGGGTGTCCCCAGTGAATGGGGGAGCGGGACAGGCAGCTGGAGGCTCCGCAAACCCACTGCCAAGTCCCGAGTGTCCGCGGCATAGATGTGGGCACTCCAAGGCGCCGGGGGCAAGTCTGGAAGTGGAAATTACCTTTTGTCTCAATGTTAATTACTTCTTGCTCCCAACACTCAACACCTAACCATCTGGTGTCCCTTCTGGGTTCTCGCCTCGCTCGGCGCTCGGGGCCGGGGCCGGGAGCTCCGGAGGGGGCTCGGCTGGGCCGGGGCAGCCCCGGGAAGGGCAGGAGAGGGTCTGCGGAAAGTTCTCGGGGCCGCAGGGACGCCTCGGCTCGTTTCGCTTTGAAATAAAAAGGATTGGAAATAAAAGAATCAAAGATAACCTCACAGCTACAAATCCAGGTGGCTAAAAATAAATGGTGGCTCTGATCAGCCCATTAACCCTGACCCTCACCCTGGCTTCTCTTCTTCGGAAAGAGGGAAAAGAGGAGCAGAAAGAGATGATGAAAAACACAGATACGCGAGGAGGGGAATGCTTGCTAGCAGAAGGGATTGCAAAAGTGGGCGCCCCCACTTACAAATCCTCCTGCCTTTTGTTTTCTTACTCGGAATTCAATAACCGCTGCCCCCACTCACACACACACACACACACACACACACACACACACTCACACACACACAGGCCGTATTTTTTTTCAAGAGAGGGGGGTGGGGGCGAAGAGGAGAAAAAATAGCCACCAAATTTTTTAAATGGTTTTCCTGATTTGACGTTTGGTGTTTTGACGTTAATGACAGTAATGTTATTGATGATGTTTCAGGGAGAAAGAGGCAAAAGAAATAAAGGAGAACTTGAAAACGAAATGATCATCATTTCCCTCTTCTTCCCTGCCAGAAATAGACCCCTTTCTTCACCTGAGCCTGAAACAGACTTATTGTTCTCAGGTGTTTCCTTCATCACACGCATTTGCCCGTCTGAAATCGCAGGAAATGGTTTTTCCATCAGTGAGCTTGTACATGGAGCCCTCTCCCGCAAAGGGCTTGATCTTTTCTGATTTGAACCTGAAAGTTTCCCTGCCTTCATTTCCCCTCCATCTCTTTTAAAAGCCCCCCCCACCCCCACTCCCTTCCCCATACACACACCTAGTTTTTTTTTTTTTTCTAAGCTAGATTTTTTTGCTCTCTGGGGTGTTTTTCAGTAAACAGTAACGCTACATAAACACCTTCTTCACTTGCAAGTTACAGAGAATTTAAATTTTACCCTCGTGGGCATGTATGTTTCTGAAGGCACATGGATGAAGCCCAGTGAGATGCAATCAGACACTGCAACACATGGTGGGTGATACAGTGTAAAAGTGGGGCTGTAAACAAAGTAACTTAAAATCTCAGAAAGCTGTCCAGTTTGAGCAGATTTCTTCCCAGCACATCTGAAATGGAATGGAGTCATTGGAGACGACTACTTTGCTTCCTGCTAACGTTTAGTAGCCCTGGTTCTAAGGCACTGGTCCATCCACAGACTCCAGATCCTAAGGTGGTGCTCTGCTATTTTCTCTTAATAAAGACCATGTCTGGGTTTTATTCCCCACTGCCAGCCTCTGGACATGCATTGGCACCTGAGCCAGCTGCCACAGGCAACCAGCTTTCTTGACCTGGGTCTGGGTCTGCTCTACCCAGGACTCTTGCTTTTATCCTCCAGGTGCATTTGGGGTGGGGGTGGGGGGGTTAATCCCATTTGCATCAGTCCTAGGATTTTCCACATGTTCCCTGATCACGCAGGGTTTCAGGCCAGAAGGGTGCAGGTTTGCAGCCTCTGTTGTCCCTAGTGCTTGTGTGATAAACCTTTCTGGTGGTATTTGGTAGATTTGGTGCTTCAGGCCTAAGACAAGGTTTTGAAGCAGATCCTGGCGAACCAGAACTTCAAAGGCCTGTCAACCCCAGAGCAGCTGAAGCCTCACCTGTCCAGGAAGCTGGACATTGCAAGTATTTCCTGTTTTTAGCTTGTTTGATTTGTTCCTCTCACCTTCTCTGTAGAATTTCTATTTTTGAAATATTGCATAGGTGGTGTCTCCTTGTGACCTGTGGTGTAGCAGTGTATCAAGATGCTATCTGAATATGAATATATATATATATATATGTATATATATATATATAGTCAGGGGGTATTTAAAAGTATGTCTATTCCTAGTTTTAGTTAATTATCTTTTAATGAAAGTGTCACTCATATTCACATCTGTAATATTGGGAAGAGATAATTAGATTTTCAAATGAGAATCAGCCACCTTAAATTTTGCACCAGAAAATACCAAGTATATTTCATTCTAATGAGATCTGTAGTGGGATTTTTAAATTCATCATCATGTGCTTCCAGAAAGATAATTCAACAGCCTGGCAAGATGAAAGGTTTTTTTCCCTAAGTCTTCTTAAAGCCATTACATTGAACTTATGCAATGCTGATAAAATATTCAAAAATATTCCGTAAAGGATAGAACCGTCCCCCCTCTCTCACCCTTGCCATCATCACGTCTTCTCATTAGAAAGTTTACTTTGACTAAACTAACCGCTTCCATCTTCCCTGCCCGGGGTTTGTCTCCCCTGCGTGTGCAAGCGAAAGGAAGCCCTTTACCGAGCGTGCCTACAGATGCGGAGTGCCCTTCCTCGTGTGAAATCGGCGGGGCAGGGCCGGCTGTGCACACCGCCAGGCACCCCGGATCTACATACATCTGCATATCTGTCCAGGCCCCGCGCCTCGCCATTAGCGTGCGTTCTCGGGCACAGCCGAATCCACCAGGCAGAGCAAACCTCTCCATTGCCCTGACTCCCATGTCTGCTGAAAGCGCCCTAGTAAACAAATCCCTGGTCCGCTAATAATGACTTTGCTCATTAAAATTAAAAAGGAAAAAAAATCGAGTGGTTAAAGGGCAGTGCTTT